GCCTGGCCTTACCTACCAGCTCGTCAGGCTTCAGCCAGCTGTCTGCATCGATTACCCACTCATCCCGCCCTGCTGTGCCTACCACAGCTGCTAGGGTGCACAGGTGGAGTGTCCGTGGGAGAGGCTTGCGCCCCAGGCAGCTGCGCTCGCCAGCCGTGAGCCCAGCTTCTGGCGCCTGTCTGTCAGCTGAGCGGCGCTCCCACTGTGGGAGCACACTCACCACAAGAGGGCAGCTCCTGCATTGAGCACCTGCCCCCTGGTGGTCAGTGTGCGTCACAGTACCAGGAGGTCATCTGACCGCTTAGGCTTTTATATATAAAGAAGACTAGAGGCCTGATGCATGAAATTCGTGCAAGAGTAGGCCTTCCTTCCCCTGGCTGCTGACACCAGCTTCCCTCTGGCACCAGGAACCCGGGCATCCCTCCGGCCACTGGCAGGCACCCGGGACCTAGGCTTTTCTCATAGCCCGGGCTTCATCCAGAAGGTCATCCGGAAGGATGTCCGGTCTAATTAGCATATTATGCTTTTATTATTATAGAAGCCTCACAGGTTGCAAAGCCTTTTACATCCATTAACTTAGCAAGTCTGTGAAGTAGATACTATAGAATCATCTTTGAGAGGCAGAGCAATATTGCAGAAGCAACACAATCAGAGGACCTGAGTTTGAATCTATTAGTTAAATGACCTCAGGGAAACTCAGCTAAAAAAAAAAAATCACAAAACAAAAAGTGAAACCATTAATGTTTTTCAAATGCTACCTAAAGTATTTCTTCAACTATAACTTTGAATCACTCACATAACAAGGCTGGTGAATTAAAAAATTTCAAAATGTCAATAGTCTAAACATAGCTTAACACATGACATTAAAAAACTGTCAGCAGAAAAAAGGTAAGTCTCCAATTGAAAATATAGTAATTCTTTATTCATTCATGGACATATTTATACCTAAGTGTACAATTATAATACAAATGTATGTGCAAATCTCAGATGATAACTCAAGTATATCTGCTAAATAGTCAATGAAATGAAAACAAAAGAAACTCTCAAATACCATCATTGAGCCTATATTTAAATATACACTGCTTTATACAATAGTCTGGTATTTAAAAAGCCATATGAAACAAATTCTTTACATTTTTAGAGTAATTTTAACTTTGTAAAATGCTAACTCGTAAGTCATTCTCCCTTAAAATTTTGTAACACAGGCAATAGCTACTATCCTATTTTAAATCTGGAAAAAAAACAGAAAGAGGTCAAGTCATTGGGTTTTCAGAGAAGAGAAAAGCAACTGGTCTTTCAAGTCTAAATAGTATTATGCCACAATGGTTCCCGAATATAAGAAAAATAAAAATTTAAAGAAGCAAATCACAAGGAATGCAGTATGATATGAGACATATCAATCCACAGGTTAGGAAATGTGGATTGAATAAGAGCTATATTATAAATAATTATGAGACCTTGGCCTATATCCACTTTGAATCTTGTTTTCTTATCTGTAAGAGAGATGCTTACCAAAGACTTTTATTACATTTGATTTTTAAAACGTATTTCATGGGAAATTTATTTTGCAAAGCAAAAAAAATAATTCATCACATTAATAATATCCTCTTTAGTTCTCAAAATCAAATTTGACATATATATACACACACACACACACACACACACACACACATATATATAATGGTATATGGCATCTGGACCAATACTCTGTACATAGTACATATTCAATAAATACTTGGGGAATAAGTAAATGAATGAAACCGGTTTTCTACACTGAAGTAAATATGTATATGAAACCAAAATTAATACCTTCTGCTTACATCTACTAACTCAAACAACAAATAAATATTAAATGTCTATGATATAACAGGAACTGGGGATCCGATACTGCTAAGAACTAGACTAACCAGGTCCCTATCCCCATGAAGCTTACGATCAAGAAGTCAGATTTAAAAAAAAAGAACAAATTATTCCCGATTCTCATAAATACTATGGCAAAAAAAAAAAAAGTGCTTTGTTAAGTAATAATAAGGGAAGGTCTATTTCAGACAAGATAATTAGAAAAGGTCTCTTTGAAAAGATGACAAGTGAACTAAACTATAAAGACATAAATGAATAAATTATATAAAAAACAAAGAGTATGCTAAGCAGATAAAATATAAGCACAAAGAAGCTGAGAAGAGAAAAGGTTTGTTATCTTTGGAAAAGGAAATGAACAGAGGCCAGTATGGCTGGTACCTATTAAGTAAAGGACAAGAGTGATACAGGAGAAGGAATGGGGAAAAAAGAGATGAAGTTGGAGATTTAGGTAGTAGGTTAACCATGCAGGCAGGGCCCTACAGAACCATAAAAAGTTTGCAATTGATTGGTGGGGGGACAGAGAAAAGAATGGGATATTAAAGTAAAAGTCCACTTCAACAAATATCACTAGAAAAAAAAAGAGTTTGCATAACTGTGCTATTTCTGTGTAGGCTTGGAGTACAGTAGAGAGTGTAGTAAACCCAAAATGAAGTAACTAAGTTGGCTGATAACTTCCCTGGGGCCCTGTATATGTTGCATTCTCTTCTTCTGATAATTGACTTTCCAAGTCTACTGGCCACAGGATGGAGTTATGAAAGGCTGGGCCAATCACAGTCACCCATCCTCCTGGAACCCAGGGATAAATCCAGGCAGAGCCACAGTCCTCATATTTACAAAAGAATAATTTAAAAATTTTGCCACAATGAAAATTCCAGGCTGAGATGGATTCACTGATAATTCTATCAAACATTTAAGGAAGAAATAACACCAAACCTGCACAAACTCCTTCAGCAAATAGAAAGAATCATTTTGATGAGGCCACTATATTTCCTCACACTAAAACCAGACAAAGACATCTCAAGAAAACTATTCTTCACAAGCATAATGTAAAAACCTTTAATAAAATAAATCCAGCAATATATAAAAAGGATAATAAATATATCAAAATAAAGTGGGATTTATTCTAGAAATCAAGATTTAGTATTTGAAAATAATCAATGTAATTGACCACATTGCAGCAATAAAGGAAACAAAACAATGATCACCTTAGTAGATGCAAAAAAAGATATGAACATTTAGCAAGAAAAAAGCCTAGAAGCAATGACACCTCAATAGCAATAAGCACATCTAGCACTCAGATCTTAGTTTCTGAACCACTCTCCAATAAAAAGACCAAGGTTACTTGGAGAAGTGGTTGATTCTAGAGTTGAGGAAGGGAAAACACATGCTAAACCATGAAAATTTGGTGGTGCCACATAATAAAAGACATGTTCAAAACAGGATAGAGCATGTCAATGACAAAAGCCAACCCAAAGTAACTTCCCATGGCCAAAGGTGGAACAATCTGAAAATAAAATAATACCAGTGCTGAATTATAACCAACAGGATAAGTATCTATGAGTCTACATTGATAAGTAATTAAATAAAATAAATAAAGGAGAACAGTGCTTCTTCACAGAATTTAATTAATACATGTACAAGGACTGATGAAAATAGAAAATCACTAGTAGGCAAACACCACAGTAATAACTGAGGAAGAAGCAAGATTCACTAATAGATGCTAATATTAGTGGGAAAAGTTTGAGAAGAAACAGAATATTTACAGTCTCAAAGCATCTTCCCTATATTAATTAATTAATTGGAAATAACAGTAATTTTACAGTGATGAAACCTGGAAGATAATACCTTAACTAAGCAATCTAGGCTAACATTATCAATAAATGTAATGTAAAAATTCTCTTTATGGTGATCTTCATCAAATACAAATTGAACGACCAAAGCTATGAATAACTATAAACTACACATACTATAGGAAAGACTGCCCCCTTGTGCCAATCAATATTAAACAGATTAAGGAAGAACACTAAAAATTATCTGACACTAGAAGCACCCAGACTTCTAAAAAGGTCTTGATCTTTCCACGTTCTGATTTCAACAGTTTATATTTAAAGCGGTAATCTTTAAACAAAAAATAAATTGACAGTACATATTAAGCTCATGTGAACGTGACTTTCAGCAGCAAACATCAACATAATTCATAACATTTACCTATTATGGATACTAGCTGCTCAAGTGCTTTGAGGTTGAGTTCCCTGAGATAAGTAATTTCCTGATCCTAAGTTCTATAACAATGTACAGAGAAAATAATTAAAGAAGTTAGTACATGTCAGAGAAAAAAATAAATGAAGCAGAAACAGAGCATGGCAACTTGCATTGTGTGTGTGTGTGTGTGTGTGTAAGTTTATCCAAGTTTTTAGGCATTTTCCTTTAAATTCTTAGAAAATAAGGTATTTTCTTTGGATTTGATGAATGACTAATTGCCCTTTATAACGCCTCTTGACATAGGTAAGTGGTATCAGGCCATTCAAATGTAAGTCATCAGTATTATTACCATTATTATTACTAATAACCTATAGAAGTGGGCAAAATTTTTAGAGCAATAGACTTGCTAAAGAAAAAAATAGGCGATAAAGCACATATCTCTGGTGATAATTAAGTGATGTGAATATAATTTTTTTTTTTTTTGGTGTGTGTGTGTGTTTTTTTTAATATATTTTTTTTATTGATTTTTTACAGAGAGGAAGGGAGAGAGATAGAGAGTTAGAAACATCAATGAGAGAGAAACATCGATCAGCTGCCTCCTGCACACCTCCTACTGGAGATGTGCCCGCAACCCAGGTACATGCCCTTGACCGGAATCGAACCTGGGACCCTTGAGTCCACAGGCCGACGGTCTATCCACTGAGCCAAACTGGTTTCGGCTGAATATAATTTTTGATATCGAGAGCATATCTCTTCTAATTATTGTTGGAACAGTGCAATTCCATTTCTACTGAGCAAGGTCAACTAGAGAATTAAATGAATTAGCATTGATAAGAGCACTTATTATAATAAACACCACAAAAATTTCTTATATAAGCAAATGAATTACTAAGTATGGAAAACTACAATAGTATATGCATACATTCAGTAATACCTACTTTCGAAGGTGCTCATGTTCTTTCAAAAATAGTTCAGTTCTTCTGTTGTTTACTCCAGACCCACTTTTATATGACCTAGAACAAAATAGAGAAAATTAAAGAACATTTTTGGCAGATTTAAGAACATTTTGGCAGATGTTGCAAAAAAAAAAAAAAGAAAAGATTAATGTGACAACTCTAGTAATAGACAAAGTGGACAAATTAAGCCTCTACATAGTTTTAAATTAACAATTAAAATGCATATTCCTTTTCATCTCCTTCTAAAAATGAAATTTATTATAAATAAATATGAATAGCTCTAAGTTAGGCTTAAGAGTTCATTATTTTTCACCAAAATAATCCAGTATTCTTAAACAAACAAAAATCGTACTTTTCCTTTCTTTGTCTATTATCTCCTATATTTTTATTTTCTCCAAGTGTAAGTAAACTTTGGACTGATTATTACATAGCACATGGGATGGAAGAGCTACTGAAATGGAGTGTTCCTTCATAATGGTACATGTAGTCCATCAACTGAAGCCTAAGGAGCACTAAACTGAAGCTAATGACCTGCCAATTTTGGCATACTTAAGGACTTTTATCTTGGTCTTAAGCACATTAAAATTTATAAGAAAATGCCTTGTGTCACTAACCTCCTATGTTTCTGTTCTTTACTCACAATAAGTATTAAGAACAAAAATTAAAACATTAAGGAACTGTACATATACTGCAGTAAGACAAAAGAGGGTTGTGCTGCTAAAACTTATCTACTGGCTGAGAGGCAGTTAATGTGCAAACCACAGCAGGAAAGAGAACACCAGGAAAAGCAGAATGTTATAACTGAACACAATGGACTTTAAAGACACATGGTTTGGATTTAAATCTATATTTCTTCACTTATTAACCAGTTAGCGACCTTAGACAAGTCTCTCTTTTTTAAAAAAATATATTTTATTGATTTTTTTACAGAAGAGGACGGGAGAGGGATAGAGAGTTAGAAACATCGATGAGAGATCGATCAGCTGCCTCCTGCACACTCCCCACTGGGGAAGTGCCCGCAACCAAGGTACATGCCCCTGACTGGAATCGAATCTGGGACCCTTCAGTCCGCAGGCTGACGCTCTATCCACTGAGCCAAACCGGTTAGGGCGACAAGTCTAATACCTAGTTTTATAAACGAGAACTAGTAATTGCTATAAATACCAAAAGATTATATGAAACCCCAAAAAATGGTATGTAATTGCCAAAAACTTGAAAATGTCATTTATTACTGCTATATCTCATCTAATTTTATTCTGCCTCGTATTATATTAATTTGAGTAAGTGCCTAACTGCCTTCTAACACCTAGAGGGCCAGGCTGGTCTTTTCATTTCTACCTTTTACTGTGACTGGCATAGTGTCTTACTCATGGACGGCAATCAGGAAATAGTTTAGATGAACAGATGAACATGTTTCTTTTATGATCATCTCTCAGGAAATAAATTATTAAAATGGGCTGTATTCTAGTCATTTCCACAAATTATGGGGAAGCTAAATGCCTATATATTAAAGGCTGTTCCCTACACTGGTCCAAAATGCATTCCTTAAGAGGTATATGTAAACAGACTGTTCAGAAATTAAAAGATTTACATGTTCTTAAAAACTAAAAATATTACAAAGTTCCTAATTATGGCAAGAATGTTTAGGGGTTTTTTTTACTCCTATATGTTACACAAAGTACATGTCTAAAAATAAAAAACAGGTAAAACAGAAACAAACAGTAAAAATTATTTTTCCAAGACAATTTCTGGAGGTAGATACCTAACTGTGATGGCTGAAAAATCGTGGGTTAGAGTTTTGAACAAAGTTTTGAATGCAATGAGTACTAAATTATTTCTGCTGCAAAACTGTCTTACTCTTACAACAAAATAAAGAATCTTGAGGAAATGTTTCTCAGAGTACACTACATCATCTTATGATTGATAATGTATATCACAGTTTATGAATCATAAGTAACATACTCATGAAATATAAGATTCATAAACTTATCACAAGTGAGACAATGACAGGCATCAAGAGTGGGAAGTCTTCAGCTTTATTCAGTGGTTCTCAACCTTCTGGCCCTTTAAATATAGTTCCTCATGTTGTGACCCAACCATAAAATTATTTTCGTTGCTACTTCATAACTGTAATGTTGCTACTGTTATGAATCACAATGTAAATATCTGATATGCAGGATGGTCTTAGGTGACCCCTGTGAAAGGGTCGTTCGACCGCCAAAGGGGGCGTGACCCACAGGTTGAGAACCACTGAATTAGATGCTCAATAGATTCAGCCTTGTTGGCTGTGTTGAGTTGTGGAAAAAAAAACAAAAAAAAACATGGCCCTGGCTGGTTGCTCAGTGGTTAGAGTGTCGGCCCCCAGAACAAAGGGTCTTGGGCTTGATTCCCAGTCAAGGGCATGTACCTCGGTTGCAGGTTTGATGCCTGCCACCCACCAGAGCAAGTGTGGGAGGCAAGGGTCGATGTGTCCTCTTACATCGATGTTTCTCTTTCTCTCTCTCTTCCCCCCTCCTTCCTCCCTTTCACTCTCTAAAAATCAATGGAAAAAATATCCGAGGGTGATGATTAAAAAAAGAAAAAAGAAATGTCAAAAATGTATATGAACTGCTGGAATATATTACTGAATATGAGGTAAAGGTAGGTAAGAAAAGAACAAACCTTTAATGTTATGGATTAAGATCAGCATAAAAATACTGGAAATCTTTAAATAACTTTACATACAGTTATAATTTTAGGAAAAAAACAGATATGTTTCAGATTCCAGGAAAGTAAAAGCTACTTTAATAGTTTCCTGAATATATACTTGTACAGGCAAGATAGAGGGGTAGGTAAGTCATAATCAGGAAGCAAAACACAGAGAGCTTCACTTACTGGTAATGTTATAATTCTTAAGATGGGTGGTAGGGGATCAGAGAAAAACTCATGAAGATATCATGTAAGCTGGACTTTGAATTAAGACAGGAAAGCCAAGGTGAGCAGGAGGCAATGGTAAAACTAGGGGAAGCTGGAGTTAAGACCACCCAAGTAGACCATATTGTAACAGCAATGTTTAAAGAAAGTGAAATAGACATTAGAAACCTTTAAATCTAAACCAGGATTCTGCCACTCAATTTGCTGATAATCATGGATATACTCAAAATCTAAATCTGAACAAACATCCTACAAAATAATATAAAAGATAACTTACTCAATATCCTTTCGTACTGATCCCATGAGATTCTCCCTTTCCCGTATTGCCATAAAGTTTGCTTTGGTTTTATGGAATTCATGTGTATAATCCTGCAATAAATGGGGAGAAAACTAAAAGAGCACTGAAAGAATAAAAGTAGAAACCATCCTGCTCCACAGCTTATAACATCATCACTTTAATTTTCTTTCAGGAAATATGTTCTTGCATATACAAGCTTATCTAGTTTTCATTTATGTTAAAGAAATCATACTATATTCTGCTGTACACTTTGTTTTATGAACTAAAGTATAAAGTAATCTTTCCATATTATCAAATAGAAATCTATCTATGACTATCATAATTTAATAAAATACCTATTGATGAACATTTTAGTTGTTTTATTTGCTGTTGAAAAATGCCACAATTGCCCTCGCAGGTTTGGCGCACTGGATAGAGCGTCGGCCTGAGGACTGAGGGGTCCCAGGTTCGATTCCGGTCAAGGGCATGTACCTTGGTTGCAGGCACATTCTCATTAGGGGGTGTGCCGGAGGCAGCTGATTGATATTTCTCTCTCATTGATGTTTCTAACTCTCTATCCCTCTCCCTTCCTCTCTGTAAAAAACTCAATAAAACATATTTTTAAAAAAAGCCACAATAAACATTCTTGTATATATATTTTATTGAATTCTCTTTCTTCCTTATTAAAGTGTAAAGAGTATATGCCTACCAGAATAATTAGATCAAAGAATCTTACATTTAAATCAGACTGCACTAATTTATGTTCCCAGCAAAATGAATGAATACCCATTTTCCTATATTCTTGCCAATAATAGGTTACACATGTTCCAATATTTGCTAATCTAACAAGTGAAAAATCCTATCTCATCTTGATTTGGGAAGGCAGCTGTACATCTTTTTATGGCTTTGGCAATTCATTTTCTGGATACAAGTTCATATCCTTTGCCCATTTTCATATTAGGCTAACTTATTTCTTATTTCTATTATTTCTCTCTATATAGTAAGCAAATTATTTTTTATAGTTCCTGATATTAGGTTTTGCTTAGAAAGTCTTTTACTACCCAAAATGGATAAATTCACCCTTGCTTTATTCTGTACTTCCTTTTTCTACATATAAATCTTTTTTTTTTTTTTTTTTTTAAAATATATTTTATTGATTTTTTACAGAGAGAAAGGGAGAGAGATAGAGAGTTAGAAACATCGATGAGAGAGAAACATCGATCAGCTGCCTCCTGCACATCTCCTACTGGGGATGTGCCCGCAACCCAGGTACATGCCCTTGACCGGAATCGAACCTGGGACCTCTCAGTCCGCAGGCCGACGCTCTATCCACTGAGCCAAACCGGTTTCGGCTACATATAAATCTTTGATCCATCTGGAATTTATTCTGGATGGAAGAAATGAGAATTTGAGGTTTGGTTCCTCCCTAACCCCCCGAAATAATTAGCCAATAGTTACAGCTCTATTTATTTTATAACCTCTCTTTTTCCCATGAATTTAAAATACTACCTTTATGGTAAAACTAAATTTCCATGCATATTTGGGTCTATAGGTGAACTTTATTCAATTCCATTGGTCCCTTTCTCTCTAGAATCAAACTCTTAATTTTTCTAGCTTCTTCACAGGTTTTAATATCTGGCAGAACTAAGCATCCTTTACTACTTATCTTAATTTTCACATGTTTTTTTCTTGGTTAATCTTGTATGCCTATGATTCCAAATAAACTGGAATCATTTTGCCAGTTTTTTTTTAAAAAAGGAACAAATAAATTTTAAAAACCTGTTACTTTCATTGGAAATGAATTCAATTTATAGGTTGATTTAGAGAGAAATCTTCCCATCCAAAAGCAGAGTAAATATTTTACATTTCTCAGTATAGTTTTATGCATTCAAGTCCTATACATCTTATTACATTTATACATAGGCTGTTATAATTTCTTCCACTGTATTTTTGAACAGGTTATTGTTTATATGAGAAAAACTACTTGCCTTTACATATTAACTAGAGGCCTGGTGTATGAAATTCGTGCACTCGAGGAAGGGGGGGGTCCCTCAGGCTGGCCTGTGCTCTCTCACAGTCCAGGAGCCCTTGGGGGTTTGTCCGACTGTGCCTAAGCCGTCAGCTGGACATCTTTAGCGCTGCTGCGGATGCGGGAGAGGCTCCTGCCACCACTGTGCTTGCCAGCATGAGCCTGGCTTCTGGGCTTCTAGCTGAGCAGCACTTCCTCTGTGGAAGCACACTGACCACCAGGGGCATCCTACATTGAGCGTCCGCACCCTGGTGGTCAGTGTGCATCATAGCAACCAGTCACTCTGACATTTAGTCTATTTGCATATTAGCCTTTTATTATATAAAACTAGAGGCCCGGTGCACAAAAATTTGTGCACTCGGGGGGTATGAGGGGGTCCCTCAGCCCAGCCTGTGCCCTCTCGCAGTCTGGAATCCCTCAGGGGATGACCACCTGCTGGCTTAGGCCCGCTCCCCAGGGGATTGGGCCTAAGATGGCAATCAGACATCCCTCTGGCAGCCTGGCAGCCCTCGGGGGATGTCCACTTGCCAGCGGGGAGCAGGCCTAAACTGCAGTCGGACATCCTTAGCGCTGCTGAGGAGGCAGGAGAGGCTCTCACCACCACCGCTGTACCGGCAGCCATCAGCCTGGCTTGTGGCTGAGCAGAGCGCCCTGACCACCAGAGGGCAGCTTCTGCATTGAGCGTCTGCCCCCTGGTGGTCAGTGTGTGTCACAGTGATCAGTCATTCCCAGTCCTTCTGCTGTTAGGGTCAGTTTCCATATTACCTGTTTACTATATAGGATAGAGGCCTGGTGCACAGGTGGGGGCTCGCTGGTTTGGCCTGAAGGGTGTCCTGGCTCGGGGCGGGGGGGGGTCCTACTTGGGTGCCTGGCCAGCCTGGATGATGGGATGATGGCTGTTTGCAGCTGGTCACACCCCCTTCAGGGTGGGGGTCCTGCTTGGGTGCCTGGCCAGCCTGGATGATGGGGTGATGGCTGTTTGCAGCTGGTCACACACCCTTCAGGATGGGGGTCCCCACTGGGGTGCCTGGCCAGTCTGGGTGAGGGGCTGAGGGCTGTTTTCAGGCTGGTGGGCAACTGAAGCTCCCAGCCTCTCCTTTTTTTAAAATTTTTTTTATTCTGGGATTAATTTACCTTCTATAGCTGTCACTGGAGCTGAGAGCAGGCTCCAGCTCTGAGGCCGTTGCCGGCTGAAAACAGGTACCTGGGTTTGTTTAGATTCTATAATTGAAACTCTGTTGCCATCACTGGCCCCTCTAAGCTCTGAGGCCGCCATGGCTGAAAGCAGGTTTCTGGGGTTTGTTTAGGTTCTATAATTGCAACATTGTTTCATCCGGAGCGCAGAGCTGAGCTGTGGTAGGCGGGGAACATTAACTTCCTCCATCACTGGAGCAAGCAAGCCTCATGTTCGCTACAGCTGCCTGGCTGCCGGCCGCCATTTTGGCTGGCAGTTAATTTGCATATCTCGCTGATTAGCCAATGGGAAGGGTAGTAAAGTTATGGTTAATTACCATGTTTCTCTATTATTAGATAGGATGTGATCTATAATCTCTCCGAATTTGTTCCTAATACATTTTTTTAGTTTTCTTTGGTTGTATTAGCTATATAATCTTATCACTGCCACATAATACAAATTTTGTCTCTTCCTTTATCTTGTTTCTCTTTATTAACTGCACCACAAAGAACTTCTAAAATAATATTAAACATTGTGGTGATAGTGGGTATTCTTGTTGTTGTTGTTTTTTTCTTTTCCTTTAATGGGAATTTTTTAGTGCTCTATTATTAAGCATGATGCTAACTTTTAATCTGAAATACACATTTTTTTTTTGCATTAGGCAACTAAAGTATCCTTCTATTCCTACTTTTAACAAGAGTTTTTTACATTAGCAATGGTTGCTGAATTTTTTCAATATTAAAAAGATTTGCCCTCCTATTTTATAGTATATATTAACAGCCCATATATAAATCTTTGAGTTTATTTCATTTGGTTTTAATATTTTTCTCAAACAATATTCTAAATATAGTAAATTATTCCTCTTCCATGTTATCTTCGAAGGCTAGTAAAAGTATACTCTAAACCACCATATTATTGCCTACGCATGACCATTGGCTACTTCACTGTTTCAGTTAGCTAGCGAGGTTTCCCATGGTTTATTTACCTACTGATGAATAGTATTCAATTTACCAGGCAAAAGCAAGAGTTCTTAGATATCAGACATTTTCAGAGTTTTATAATACCAAAAAAAAAAAAAGTAAAACAAGACAAATTTCTATAGCATGGCATTTATCCTCTCAGAAGATTTCCCCGTGTGTTCTCTTAAGTACATGTGCACACAATCTATTCAGGGATTAAAATAAACCCCATAACAACATAAAACTCTCAAGCCCAGTGCATTACCTGCAATATGTCTCTATGTCGCTGTAATGTATGCATCAGTGCTGCATTCAAGGAGGGGACACCTGCACTGTTGGTATATTCTGCCATTTTATCATTTACTCCTGTAAGCTAAAAAAAAAAGAGAAAGGAAAAAATATATATATGTATTTTAGAAAGCACTATAAAGAGACAAAATAAATTATTTGCCTGTTTACCCTTTGGCTAACAGCAAAAAATAAACCAAAAACAAGAAGCTAGTACGCAAGGATTCAGTACTTCCACCAAGTAATATATAAAATTAAAAAAAACCAAAACTCTCATGGGACCTGGAAATAGCTGTGATCAAAATTCAAATGGCTTAAGAAGTACACACCTTGAATGAAAAGGTGGTGACTTCAACAAATGTCTGTGTTAATATAATCTAATACCATATCTAACAAATACACAATTTTTAGCAAAAAAGCCATTTAACAGAAAGTCCTTACCCTTGCCAAAAGCTGTTCAATCTCAATTGCCATTGTTTCAAACATTCTGTCTTGGCTTGATCCATTTAAAAGAGGTGTTGTGTCAGAGCTAAAGAGAAGTTCAAATAAAGAGGATCTATTACTTAAAACTAATCTTTTAAAACATACTTAAAATAATAAGGTAATTATTCTTAAGAGGTCAAGTATAATCCCTGAGCAATTCTTTCTGTTTCCTAAGAAACTATAATTTTTTAAAAGAAACACACACACACACACACACACATTTTATTTGGAAATAATTTCAAATGTACAAAAATTTGAAAAATTAAAACAGTACCATGAGAAGAAAACCCACATAGCTTTATCTTATCCCATTTGCTTTATCACTTGCTCTCTCTCTCTGAATCATATGAAGGCAAGTTATATATACCATGGTTTTTTACCTTTAAATTCTTTAGGGTGTATATTCTAAGAATCAAGATACTCTCTTACAGCACTACAGTACAGTTGTCAACTTCATAAGTGTATACTGGTACATTTTTATTTAACCTGCTCTCAGTTGTCCCAATAGAGTCATTAATACCTTTCTTCCCTTCCAGTTTAGGAGTCAATCTACGGTCAGCTACTGCATTTAGTTGTCATGTCTCCATAGCTTTCTTTAATCTGGAACATTTCAACAGTCTTTTGGGGGGCATTTTATGCATTAACTTTTTTTTTTTTTTTAAATAGAAAAGTTCCTCATTTTTGTTCATTTGATATTTCCTTGTGAGTAGACTGAGGTTATGCATTCTCTGCCAGAATACTGCAAAGGTGATATTAGAGTCTTTTTAGAGTATTACATCTAGAGGTGTAATTTATATGCAGAAAAATACAAGAATCATAAGTGTATAGCTTGATGCCTTTTTTGTATATTCATATACCCATATAATCAACAAAGTAAAAATTGAGAATATTTCCACTGACTCAAGAAGTTTTCTTGTGCCTCTTCCCAGTCAATGCCCACCCCAAGGAAACCATTATTCTTTCTTCTATCTCTATAGATTGGTGTTTCATGTTTACAGATTTTTAAAATTGATTTTTGGAGATAAAAGAAGAGGGAAAGAAAAACATCGATGTGAGAGAAGAACATTGATAGGTTGCCTCCTGTACATGCCCCGACTGAATCAAGCCCACAACCTAAGTACAGCATATGCCTTGACGAGGAATCAAACCTTTTCTGATACAGGGGACACTGCTTCAAACAACTGAGCCACCCAGCCATGGCTCTAGCTCTTTGGGTCGGAGCCAATCCAAGATCCTGCCGTTGTATCTTAAAACGTGCCCGGACAAAAATTCTCTATATTCTCCTAACACAAATCCTCCCCTACAAGACATACGATAAAGAAAAACTGGTCTGAATGTAAGCTCTGTGAGAAGGGAAATTGTGTCTCATTCATCTATACACCCAGCTCCTAAAATTTTGCTTGGCACATGGTAGGTGATTAATGGATACTTGTTGAATGAATGAGAAGGCAAATCTCTACATTCACCATTCTCAGGAGAATAGGTGAGTCCAGGGAAATGGTCAAAACTCATTCTCCACAATACTAAAATTCAGTTAAATTTAATTCATTTTATAGGTATGTGATGATTCATAGGCCAATAAGTTCTCCAAATACAGAAACTAAAAAAATTACTCATCACTGAGTTTATTCATCATGACATGCTTTCAACCTGAGCAATACACAAAACACTTCAGAATGCAAACTGAAAAGAAAAAAAAAAAAAGAATGCAGAGTGGATCTTGATCCTCATGGCCTTAAGTTTCTTATCGAAGGGGGACAGTTAGGCTGAAGTAATTCCACAAAGTCGGTCCCAGTTTTATTGCAGAATTTCTCCAGGAATGTTTTCAAGATAGTTTTTCCTTTAAAGGAGTCACAAAAGTATTAAGTTCATGAAGCATAGAGAACATAGAAAAAGTATCATGTAATTGTATCTCTTAACTATTTGGAGTTTTAAAATTATATAATCACTGGCACAGCCAAGTGGGAGACTTAAATTCAGGAAATATGCTTAATACATATAAAAGAATATTCCTCATTCTTTTACTTGCTAAGTAAAGGTGAGCCCAAAGCAATGCAGTACGATGAAAGCTATGTGTGACATGCCAATAGCTTACTTTTAGATCCTAGAGTCAATATGTTGGCCCTGCTATCGTTAATTCTTTAATAATGTGCCCTATTAAAAAGAAGCAACAAGGGAATACAGGGGACATCTGTAATACTGTCAATAATAATATATATATTATTTAAAATTAAAAAGGAAGCAACAGTTTGGCTATAGTGCTGGAATAAGTCTTTTGTTGAAATGTGCACAGAAAGTTTTAGAGAGTGGGCTCTGGAGATAGAAAGACCTGGGTTCAAATCCAAGTTCAGTTTTTATTATTATTAATTGAGAAAAATATCGCACCCATGACCAATCCTCACAAAAGTATGTAAAATAGAGAAGATAACAACTAACAGCTCTGCTACCTGCAACTTCACTGGGAGATACATAAAACATTTTTATAGGTAAAAAATGTTCCCAGCAATCTTTTTTAAAAATTAAATATATTTTTACTGATATCAGAGAAGAAGGGAGAGGGAGAGACAGAGAGAAAGAAACATCAATAATAAGAGAGAATCATTGATTGGCTGCCCTCCTGCATGTCCCACACTGAGGATCGAGCCCACAACCCAGGCATGTGCACTGACTGGGAATCAAACCCTGACCTCCTCAATGATCAACCACTGAGCCACTAAAGCTGGGCCCCAGCAGTCTTTATATAAAGCTCTTAGAATAGTACCTGACACATGATAAACACTGTGTCAACTATTAAAATTATTATTAATTAGCAAAAGTTGGAAACAATGTCCACCTACAGAATAAATTGTGATACAATAATATAATCCTATATAATAAAAGGCTAATATGCAAGTCGACCGAATGGCAGAATGATCGGTCGCTATGATGCACACTGACCACCAGGGGGCAGACACTCTGTGCAGGAGCTGATAGTCATTGTGGTCCCACAGGGGAAGTGCCACTCAGCCAGAAGCTGGGCTCACGGCTGGCGAGCGCAGCGGAGTGGCAGGAGCCTCTCCCACCTCCACGGCAGTGCTAAGGGTGTCCGACCGATGGTCCGGACATCCCCCGAGGGCTCCTGGACTTCGAGAGGGTGCAGGCAGGGCTGAGGGACTGCCCCCCGCCGAGTGCACAAATTTCATGCACCGGGCTTCTAGTGTAATAATAATGTATGTTAAATGTATTCATAGCTTAATCTCAAAGATAATGTTAAACCAAAAAGCAAGTTGCAAAATAACTTTGATAGGATATTATGAATTGTTTAGGAATACAAACATATACCATAAAATACATATGGAGATTATGAGGATGAAAAAAATGGATGCTATCAGGGGCTTAACTGAATTGGTCAAAATTATTTCTTAAAGTGGGAGATAAGAACATGAGACTCAAATATATTATTCTTTATACTTTTCTACATGTCTGAAATATTTCCTAATACTTTCGAAACAAGTGAATGGCCTAAAGTGAGCAAAAGATTCAAAGATAAGAATACATTTTCCAAAAGAACTATCTGCCGAAACCGGTTTGGCTCAATGGATAGAGCGTCTGCTTGTGGACTGAGGGGTCCCGGGTTCGATTCCAGTCAAGGGCATGTACCTGGGCTGCGGGCACATCCCCAGTAGAAGGTGTGCAGGAGGCAGCTGATCGATGTTTCTCTCTCATCGATGTTTCTGGCTCTCTATCTCTCTCCCTTCCTCTCTGTAAAAAATCAATAAAATATATTTAAAAAAAAAGAACTATCATATGACCCATCAATTCCTTTTCTGGGTATTTATCTGAAGAATATAAAAACACTAATTTAAAAAGATATATGCACCCCTATATTATTGCAGCATTATTTACAGTAGCCTAGGTATGAAATAACCTAAGTATCCATCAATGAATGAATGGACTCAGCCGTGAAAAAGATGAACTACTGCCATTTGTGACAACATGGATGGCCCTTGAGGATATTATTCTAAGTTAAGTAAGACAGACTGAAAAGGACAAAAACCATATGATTTCACTCATATATGAAATACAAAAAAGAAACCAACTAGCAAACAAAATAAACTCACAGATACAGTCAAAAGATGGGCAGTTATCAGAGGGAAAGGAGAATAGGAGGAGGGCAAACATGGGTAAAGGGCGTCAAATGTAAGGTGACAGATGGAAGCTAGGCTTTTGGCAGTGAACACACTACAATGCACACAGATGTCCAACTGCGATGTTGTACACCTGCAGCTTATATGTTATTAGCCAATGTTACCTCAATTAATAAAAACACAGTTTCTATACAGTCAATATAGTAGTATACTGGTTACTCATAAAAGAACCAAAATTAAAAATAGCTTAGATGATTAGAAGGGAGGATACACACTGCATTAGATTCATTCTAAAATGCCAGAATAGCAGTGTATGTACTTGGCATTTGGGCAGTTCCTCACATCTATTTAGCAATCAGAAGGTATAAGAATACAATATGGACAAATCAACCACATTTTCTTAAACTGACTGACCTAGAAACTTATTTCTGACACAAGCTCATTCGTAAGCCTTAGCATTTTCCTCCTGACATTGTCAGAATCTTTGCCTAAGAACCCCAAATTAATACTAGTCTCAAGAATTAAGAATTTTCATAAATCACTAAAAACAAACAATAACATAAAAATAAAATACCAAAAATCCACCAATAGAACAAATTACAGAGTTACATTTTAGTTTATTTTTGATGCTTTAAAAACAGTATACAGTTTAAGGCATAAGAGAGAGGATCTGGTAGTACCTATACCTGTCGCGTCTTCCATCTCGGGCACTGCTGTGACTGTAACTCGTGCACAGTTTACTGAAGGAAACTAGTTTCAGGTCAAGTTCATTTTCCAGTTGTCGAGCCTGTTTCCTGAGATCTTTAACAAAATTATAAAAGCAAATGATTCAGACACAGAAAGTTCATCAGTAGACATAAAACTCACAAAGCTATTCTGAAGAAAACAAACTATGAAAATGATCATATATTGATCTAGGTTCAATTTTTTAAAAAAGTTTTAAATGGAAGAAACCAAAGATGTACCCAGCAAAGCAAACGGTCACTTATTTTAAACTTCAGGTGGGGCAAAAAGGCAGGGGGGAGACGCAAATTTTCGGCTTTATCCAAAAGCCAACTAGACAACAAAGGTTGCTCTAAATCCCTGAAATTACTTATATAGCAACAAACACATTTTGTTACGTTAGGGGAAGGCAAAAGAAAACACAAACCACAAAGAAACTGACTGCGGTTTATTAATTTACCATTTAACTTTATAAAAAAGAAACCATCACTGTTTTTGACAGAGATTTTCCTATTTCTTTATATCCCAACACTTTATTAGGCTCATGAAATTCTTAATAGTAGAATGACTTACGCGACTGAGCATGAAGGACAAAATAATCGTTGACAAAGACGTACACAACTGTCTTTCAATAAGCTTACCCAAATTTGGAGAGGCTGAAATTAACCATGACAATGTGCTACTAACAAGGTCAAGTGTCAGCACAACCAAACTAACAGCGTAGGTTTTAATACAACAGAAACAAGCAAGCAAGCAGAGACACTGGTTTGGCATCCAAGTGGCTGCGTGAGAGAAGCGGCAGCCCCAACACCCCCATGCAGGTGTAAGGAATCTCATCATTCACGGTGAAGTGGAGGTCAACATGAACGGGCTGGAAGGTGGGAAGAATCCTGTAAGGACCTCCTCTTTCAGGACAGAGCAATACAAAATATTCTTTCAATACACTCATCAGCCACCAGAAGTGGGGAGCAGCGTAAAGCGTGGAGCGTGTTCCCCCACAAACCGAGTCTCAGAGCCTCCGCTCTGCGCTTCCGAGAACTGGCTCTGCGGTGTATTGACGATCTACCGAACCCGCGAGCCCCAGCTTTTCCTTTTCCACACCCCGATCTCCAGGGGTTTCCTGGTGCTACAATGAGGACAGCACAGCGCTTCCAAAACCTGCAGCCCAGCGACGAGTATTCAAGATACCAGCAGCCCCTGCTGCAGAAATCAAAACTACCTCCGAGCCAGGACACACGTGTCGCACGGTCACTTTGAATACGGTTTAAAGGACCAGCCCGCCCTCTGTCGCCGGTCACTGCCTTCCCCAGCAGAGAACAGCAAGGAGAGGCATTCTGACAGTACGACAGGCAAGTACGCATGGACTTAATTCAGAATAAGTATCTGAGACCCGGAGGCCGACAGGGACCATCCTGCTGCCGGTGGTGGCTTCCAGAGGCTTCAGGGGGTAGCAACAGGGAATAGTTCAAAAGGGAAAAAAATAATAATTCAGAGAGCAGTCTCTAGGCTGCAGTAAAGCAAACACTTGGAAGAGAAAAGTGAGCCTTCTGTGCCCGCGCTGCCATCGCGGCCCAGGACATGACTTTCACACGGGTCCTCTTTCAGGAATCACAGAAACGCGCTCGTCAAATCGCAAGATGATTTTGTGTTTTGTTTTGTTGGTAGAAAAGGTATCACAAATGCAATCATCACAGTTCACGCTGGTTCTCTCAACTTTCTCTGATTAACGAAACGGATCTCGGGAGCGGACGGGACAAGCTATTTCCTCCGCCAGCAAACGGACCCGACCTCCCCGGCCCGGCCCGGCCCGCGGCAGCCGAGGGCGCTCAGCCCCGGACGCTCCGCTCACACAACCGCCCCTCGATGGCCGGGCCGACGAGCTCCTTCCTCCTTCCTCCTTTCCCTCCCAACTGTCCACGGCGCCGGCTCCTGCGGGCTCCCGGCCTCGGGATACCCTCGCCCAACACTCGTTTCCTCCCCGCCCTCAGAGTTCACACGAAAGCCCCTTCGTCCGGGCTCCGCGACGCTCTCAGCCTGGCTCTCCTCCGGCTACCCAGACCCGGCTTCCTCTCCATCCCCGCTCAGCCCTCCGGGTCCGACCCCCGCCCCAGGCCCCGCCGCCTCTCGGGTCAGCCCCCTGTCCCAGGCGGTTCCTTCTCCTCAGCCCCGAGGCCCCGAGGCTCCCACTGGACGCCCTGCCCGCCCCCGCTCGGCCACACGGAGGCCAGGCTCTTTCCTCTGCTGCCACCCCCAACACCCGTCCTCTCTCAGCCCCTCCGCCCCCAGGCGAGTCCCAGCCGGAGGCCTCGCCCTTACCTTCCCAGTAATTGCTGGTTCCTGCCGCCATCTTTGTTGTCCGACGTCAGTCGGGAGACGAGAGTCCAGGCGCTGCGGGCCAGAGAGTCGCCTCCGCGCCTTCTTCCGCCCTGGCGCCAGGGCCGATGGGATACGTGAGCCTCCAGAGACACCGCCACCTGGTGGTCGATTGATCGCTTGACACCCCTCGAGGGGCGCGACTGAAAATCTCATGCTTGGCGCGGGACACGCCTGCTTTTCGGATGCTCCTATCCGTTCTCTACGCTGCAAGGTTTCATCGTCGCATCATCGCCCTCTGCTCGGTTCATCCCCCTCTCTCAGCAGGACCTACCTGTCTGAGAAGAAAGTCTTCTTCAGACCCTGCTCCTGTTTGCCTCACCTGCTCGCCGTGCACCTCTTCAGCTGGCCTCTTTCCCGTCTCAGAGCCAGAGGCCCTTTTCTTCCCAAGCCCAACCGACCTCTTCATCCTACCTGCGCCCCGTGCTCCGTCATCCCGGACCTCTGACCTTCGTGCCCTTCTGCACGGTCGCCTTCTCCTCTGTCTGCAGTAGCTCTAGCCCCAGCCCTCTTCCTTCCAGCCACCGAATCTAGACCGTGTGTGCTAACTGCTTCCATTGGTCATCCTGACCCCCCAGCTGTTAGCTGCTGTCCAAACCCGCCCTTTATAGAGACATAAACACGGTCTACTTCTGTCCACATTTTACCAGCTCCAGCGAAATGTAGGAACCTTACGTGCGGTAAAGGTATTTAAATCACCCTTGTCCCTTTACCCGCTCCCATCTATACTTGCCTTCAACATTTCCTCTACATTCATTGAGAACTACATCAGACGTTATAATTTTTGTTCCAACTGTCAGACATAATTTTTTAAAAATATATTTTTTTATTATTGATTTCAGAGAGGAAGGGAGAGGGAAAGAGAGAAACACCCCGAGCCCGCAACCCGGGCATGTGCCCTGACCAGAACTGAACTGTGACCTCCTGGTTCATAGGTCGAAGCTCAACCACTGAGCCATGCCAGCTGGGCCAACTTAATTTATAGAATTCAAAAGAAGAAAGAAAGTGTTCCATGTTTACCCAGATTTTACCCTTTCCGTTTTTCTGCCTTCCTGATGGTCCAAGATTTCTTCTTTTATAATTTTCTTTCTGCTTCAAGAACGTCCTTTAGCCATCTTTTTTTTTTTTTTTTCCTTTAGCCATCTTTGAAAGAGTAAGCCAGCTCGAGACAAATTCTATTAGTTTTTCTTCATCTGAGAATGTCTTGATTTCCCCTTCATTGCTGAAAGATGCCGTTGCCAGAAATAGAATCTGGGGCTGACAATTTCTTCTTTCAGCACTTGATAAAAGTGACAATTCCTCCTGGCGTCCACAGTTTCTGGTGAGAAATTGGCTGTTTTAGATGTTTTTCTACTATAGGTGAGGCATCTTTCCTTTTTCACTGCTTTCAAAAATTTTGTTGTTAATTCTCACCCAACCAGGTTTTTCCATTGATTTTTTAGAAGGACGGAGGGAGATGGAGAGAGAGGGAAGGAGAGAAACATCATTGTGAGAGAGACACATCGATTGGTTGCCTTCTGCACACACCCTGAATAGGGGTGGGGATCAAACCTGCAACCCAGGTATGTGACCTCGATGGGGAATCACACCCAAGACACTCTGGTTCACAGGCCAATGCTCTGACCATTGAGCACACCAGCCAGGGCTGCTTTCCAAACATTTTATTTTTGACATAAAAAGAGCTGCCAGACAGCTCTGATGGGAGAGGGAGTGTAATGAGGAGGCTGTGGAAGGATTGAGCAAAAAGCAAATAGAGAGGGAGAACTCATGGACAACAGTGTGGTGATTGGGGCCGGGGGAGAGTTGATGGGGGGGAGATAGAGGAGGGCATAGAGGGCATAAATGATGATGGCAAAAAGTTAAATTAAATTTTTTTAAAAAAAGTTTACCAATCCCCATATCAAGTTTGGGGTTGAATATAATGAGGAAATCTAAAATATTATGGAATGTTATTTCCTTCTGAAATAGATATTTTTATTCTACTAAAAATATTGCTAAAACACATATGGCAATAAAGGTTTGTTTCCATCCTTTGGGGGGAAAACTTATTTTTCTTTAGTTTTCAGAAGGTTGACTGTGATGTGTCTTAGTGTAGGTTTCTTTGGTTTTATCCTGCTTGGAGTTTGCTCAGCTTTTTGAATCTTAGATTTATGTTTTGCCAAATTTGGGGACATTTCAGCTGTTATTTCTTCTAATACTTATTCTGCCCCATATTCTTTCCTCTCTTCTCGTTGAACTCCAATGATATGAATGCTAGGTCTTTTGTTAAAGTCTTACATATCTCTGAGGGTCTACTAATTTTTTTCTATTTTCTGTTGTTCATATTGGATCATTTGTACTGTTTTGTCCTCATGCTCACTGACAGGGATGCCTTTTCTCTGTCCCCTCTATTCTGCTATTGAGCCTATTCACTGAGTTTTTTTAAATTATTGTATTTTTTAGCCCTGGTCTATTTGGCTTAGTGGATAGAGCGTCAGCCTGCGGACTGAAGGGTCCCAGGTTTGATTCCCGTCACATGCCCGGGTGCAGATTCAATCCCCAGTAGGGGGCGTGCAGGAGGCAGCTGATCAATGATTCTCTCTCTCCCTCTCCTTTCCTCTGAAATCAATAAAAATATTTTAAAAATTATTGTATTTTTCAGATCTAAAATTTCCATTTGGCTCCTCATTATATCTTCTGTCTCTTTGCCGAGACTATCATTTTTTCCTAAGTTTATTTGTAATTGCTCATTAAAATATTATTAGATCCTTGTCAGATAATTCCAACAGCTGTGGCATCATGATGTTGGCATCCATTGGTTGTCGTTTTTCATTCAAATGGAAATTTTCTGGGCTCTTGGTATAATGAGTGATTTTAAAAATTGTATCCTAGATACTTTAGGTATTATAAGACTCTGCATCTTATTTAGATCTCCATTTAAGCAGAGCTTCTATGACAGCGTGCTCACAGGGGAAGTGGACAACTTCCTTGTTCCTGCCAGGGGCAGTTGACGTTCAGGCTTTCCCGTGGCCTCTTGATACCTTGTTCCTGCTCCCCACGTGGCCTCCACAGACACCACGGCGGCCTCATTACCGCAGTGCATGGCGGAAGTCCTGGCTCCTCTCTGGGCCTTCTTTGACACCACCCAGAAGGTGGGGAGGAGTGCCTTCATGGCCGCCAGGTGAGCCTGGAGTGCAGGCTTCCCTCGAAGCCTTTGCTGGCAGGGGTAGAGACAGGACTCCGGTTTTTTTTCTGAGCATTTGGCTGGGGTAGTGCAATTATTGTCTAAAACTACTCTGTCGTGGTAGGCTGCCTCTTTCCTGGTTCTATGGCCAAAGACGTCTTTTCTTTGGGCTTTTCCCCCTGCCTATGCCCTTTGACATGTCAGGTTTGCCAGTTTCTCCAGTACCCATTGTGGGGTATGAGGCAACACGCATTATGGGATCTATAAGGCAAAAAGATAACCAGGGAACTCACCACTGTGTTGTTTCTTGGATCCTGAGGTCCCTATCTGTTCCGCCTTCTTCTTCCACCATTCTGAGATTTAGTATTTGTTTTATATATAACACACGAGGGTTGTTTGTTTTGCTGTGCTTAGTGGAAGAGAAATACATCTACTCCATCTTGTCCAGAATCAAAAGCCTCCATTTTTAAATAGATTTTAATTATTTTCTAAAATGCTTCATCTTGTCTTCTACTTTCTTGTATTCATCACCATTATTTTAAAGTTTCTGACTGAGATGAAAAAATCTGTAACTCCCAGGGGACTATTCCTATTTTTTTCTTGATCTTTCATTATTTGATACTGTCTTTTGACAATAAAAGTAACTTCTGATTGGGTGCTGCATATTGTAGGTTAGAATGTGTACCAATCATTTGAGGCTTCAGATGACATCTTTTTCCTCCAGACAGTTTACTGCTACTTCTTGCAGAAGGTAGGGGCACATCAGCTCACAGGAAGGGGTGGGACCAAGATCAAGTGGAATTGTATCTTTGTACCAATTGCTTTGTTTCTGATGAGCCCTTACTTCTAATGTACAGCCACTTACGTGTCTTAACTGAGAGTCTGTTGACCAGTGGCCTCTTCTGTGGTAGGTGCTGAACTTGTATTTTCCCTGACCCACTGATACTGCCTACAGCTTCTGCTCATGCTGCTTCTTGCCTAGCCTCTCTGCTGCTAGATGTCTCTCTTAGTCACCACCTAACAATCAGCAAATGCCTCCAGGTGAAAACTTTTGTTTTATTCACCTCCAAACTCCCTTTGCATCTAGACCCCATCAGTCCTGTTACCTTAATAGCTCTCCAATCCTTCAGACAGCTTAAAAAAAAAATGTTGCCCACTTGGCGTCTAGGCAGTCTTCTCACCCTCCTGTCTTCAAACTTCTCCCAGGCCAGCCTCTAACCTGGAACACCTTTCTACTCCAAGTCTTGCTTGCCTTGTTTACACAGTAATAGGAAATAGGATTCCATCTAACTCCAGCCAAAATGCCGAAGAAATAACATGCGTTCTTTTAACATTCTGATTAATGTAAGGTGGAAGTTATACTATTAAAGTTAAAATTGGGCTTTATATGCTGATTTGATTGTTTTTAAATTGTGGTTAGTAAATGACTGTATTTATCTGAGGTATGCAATAAATACCATGGGATCATTGGCATTTTAACTGCAAGTGAGAATAAGAGATGAAGATCTACACGATGGCATTTATTCATAACTGAGTAGTGTATTAGCACTGAGCATTCATGTTTGTTGAAAATAATCAGTGTCTAGAAATCTGGAAAACGGAACATAATCAGATTACTGTTCATGATACAAATCAAAAGGGTCTTGATTCAGTTATGAGAAAACTCCTGACAAAAATTCAGGAAAATGTTTCAAACATTGGGGGACAAAGAAACACCATCGCTGTTCAGACTTCTTGCAGCAGTTAAGACTGTTTTCACTGAATAAACATACATATAATCTGATTTTATTTATAAACAAACTAGAGGTCCAGTGCACAACATTCGTGCACTGGAGGAGAGAGGGTACCCTCAGCTCAGCCTGCGGCCTCTTGCAGTCCGGGAGCCCTCTGGGGATGTCCGACTGATGGCTTAGGCTCCCCCCACTGCCG